AAGCCCTCTCGTCCCCCAACCAGACGACGTGCCAAGCTGCAGGTACAAGCGATATCTGGGAGCGATGCCTTGCTCGTAGGAATCCACAGATTTAAATACAATCGAACGGAGACGACATCAAAGAATTGCCGCGTGACCTCTCGACTGCCGCGGTCCGTATCTCAGGGCGAAGTGGACTCGAGGACACGGGGGCCAACTCCCTGGTTCCCTTGAGGTATCGAGATGTCTGTTTTCTGGGTTGTACCGCCATGTGATCAGATACAAATACACCGACGTTTCGGAGATGGTCACCAGATCTGTTTTAATGTGTAGAGAACTTCGTGGACGTTGTTGGATTGCCAGAAAACTTTCATTTAACAAAATGATGCGAGGTAATGGCCTCCAGAGAGAAAGAATATTTTCACACGGTCGTATGCAACCTTGGACGTTGAAATGTGGTATATTTTTGTTGGAATAACACTATAAAATAAAACAAACTTACGCTCCGACAGGTAATTTGGATTACACTTGTGTTCATGACCACCTAAAGGTAAAAACATGTTGGGTTTGCGAACAAAATTCACTCTGTATTGTAATAGATCACAATTCTTTTGTAAATCATTTAAACGACGTGAATAATGTGGAAAAAACAGAATATCGTAAAACTTGATGTACATAAACAGTACGGGACGTTCGATTTCAGGTTCTCAAGGCGGTAAGTACGAAGGTGAGAGGGAGATCTGGGACTTGCGCCTTGAAGTCACGTAAAATCAGAGATGATTAGTGCCTCCATCATCAGAGCGATTGCCCTCACAGTAAACGCTTACCAAATTACCGCAACAACGCTTTGTACAGTCCAGATCTATCGTTTTACCATTCTCGCTACATGTGCAGCCCATCACAGCTCTTAATTTTAATGTCAGTCGCTAGTTCCTCATCGCACGACTCAGGTTCTGTCGTTCTCGACAAGAGATCGTCTCAGTCATGTCAACAGTTTAGCTGCGTTACAAAACACGAGTTAGTTAGTTAGTTAGTTAGGTTCTTGATGACACGTCCTTGTATCTGCAGGGACTTTGTCCAGGCGCAATTCAAGCCCACACAATGGGACTGCATGAGAAATGCTGAGACGTGCTTTGAAAAACAACACGCGGCATGAAAATTAATAATCCCAACAAACTCGCCATATCTCCCAGCGTATCATGTATCAACGCTGCTGAAACGCGTTTCGACGAAGTATCCGTCCGCGAGACCGGATACATTTGGGACAAAATGTTTTAAAAGTCTTACCAAAAAGAACAAGATTGGAAAGACAGAATTACTTCAATTCGAAAAACACGTATTTTCCGATGTGGTTTAATCACAATATCGTATATCGTCTCTGCCTTGTTCAATATCACCTATACAAATCAAATGTTGCAAATCTAATCAATGGAATGTCCTTAAATACTCATAACAATATCGGAAATGTTTTAAAATGTTCGATCTTCAAGAAATCTACACTAGATTCATCATGCACGAACTCCTTTTCTCATACGTCGTTTTTGAAAAGACTTATCAACTTCGATTTGAGTTTCATATTAAATCGGACAGACCGACCGACATAAATCACGATTAAATTCGACCAGCAAATTTCAGCTTTGCCCCCAATCTAAAATATTAACTATAATTGGTCAATGCAAAGTAGAACGAAGAAGTAAGACAAACATGGATGGACAGACGTGACCTTCCAAATTTTTACAGACTTTGTGCATTCTGTGCAAAGAACGTCTACACATAAACAAGGATCATGGCACATACACATTTCAGTAAATACCAGAAAAATTCTATTAAAGTAAAGAAATGTGGAAAACTTAATTCTCACTGCAAACAGATCCACGGATACACACTCTAAAGCAGTGGTACTCAACCTGGGGCACGCGAGGGAGTACGTGAAATTTAAAAAAATATATATTATTTTACGATAAACACTGAATAATCAGTAATGTAATTTATTTAATTTATTTTAGATGTAGATTATATACTATGTATAACTTGAATTATACACCAACAACTTTGGGGGTACAAAGTTGAAGAGAAATTATATCTAGGGGTACGCGAACAAAAAAGGTTGAATACCCCTGCTCCAAATGATACAAGAAACCAGGAGCTTTTGACCCGAGAAGCCCCTTAACTAGTAGCCCTGGGGTTGTATCCATTAGTGTTGCCAGTTGTCGGCTAGAAGCAAGACTAAAGCCTGATTGTGACCCTCGTGATCCCGCCATCAAGTCGTTCTCAGGTCCCTATAAATAAGACTAGTCACCTCTTACACGGCCCATCTCTCGTGATGACTCACCAATTTGTATGCCTTCCACGAGAAAAGAAACATTTTAATGGGACTGCAGACTATACGGACTCCGTAATGTAATAAGAGCCCCCCCGAAAGCCTTTTAATTCGTTGTGTACTCAAGGGTAACCATAGAGTTCACAGCAAAAACGAAACAAGGGACAACAGCAACTTCTGTGCGAATGGAGACACGCAATATTCAAATTCCTTGGGAAAATCCGAAGAGTTACGTCATCACAGCATAACTGTGGCTTAAAAATCAGAAGCAGGCTAACCTCTAAATGCTCCGGTATTCGATTGTTTCGAATGTTTCATTAGCAAAGCTAAGAAAATGTGTACACATCTAAATCGTCTTCACATACAAACACCAAGTCAAAGTTCAATTACTTCGGATATTTAAATAAAAATTATTACATCACGGGATCAGTCTCAGAAAGTGCACAAGTGGAGGCGGAATTCAGTTCTGCACTTCACTCCATCACGCACTACGTGGCATCGTCCCCGTCCTACCCTAACTTAATCTCCTTCTATTGCTACCGGTCTAAGGAATTACCCGAATTTGATTAGTCACAGAACATAGAGAATTTGCATGCTGAAGGTCGTGTTCGGTTGTCCTTGAGAATTTCTAACTCTGTCGTCTATTTATTTATTTCTTGTAGGAGATTCTGGACCAGGGGTGGGGAACCTACGGCCTCAAGGCCACATGTGGCCTTCTAGGTCCTTAAGTGCGGCCTTTTGACTGAATCCAAATTTTACATAGTAAATCCTTTTATTTTTATTAATACATGCTGCAACCAAACATTCAAATGCTTTCCAACAAAACGCAGACACAACAAAGTCATTAAAAGATCAGTTAACTTTAAAATTAACAAATAGTTTTCATTTTTAGAAATTATGAAGCACATAGTAGTTAGATTTTTACAAAATAATGTACATTTTTAAGTATATCTAATTGAAGTTTCTTGAATGCGGCCTTCCAGCATGAAAAGGTTCCCCACCCCTGTTCTAGACCTTTGGAAACCGTTTTCCGGCATTGGCAGGCTCCTTGGACCTGCGTAGAGGTCGCGCGAGAACTGCTGGCGCATGCGCGAAGGACTGATTTTGGTCGTGCGAGATGGACCCGTCCTAGGCACGCGCTCGAGGGGTGTCAGCTTCAGTTGGTTTGTAGCTCTCGCTGTGTTTAGTTCGGTGCGACCCCCCCACTACTACCGAACTCCCCTCTCTCGGCTTAAACATCGCGCATTTAGGTGTCACGACTACTCGCGCGACCTCTACGACAGCACAGAACAGAAACACGAAACAAAATCCGAACCGACGATCCCTGAATTCACAGGATCAAGACCGCACGGCCACTTACGTGCCTTAAATCCGTCAAGGACAAAGTTCCTTTATTAAAGGCTTAAAAACCAGTCTTGTGCGTGCGTATCTGCCCTAAAGTCAGTTTGACCTCAAGTGAACGTAAACTCCTGGAACGCGCAGGCAGATAAAAGAATTCTCAGAGTTGGATCAAAATGTAATTTGGAACCTGGTACTTCTATTTCACGAGACTACAACACGACACCGAATAAAACAGCATCTACGGAAAAAGGTGTGTCACGGACACTAAAATTAGACGAATGGTGAGAAGAGCCAAGGGATTAGAAAGGAATAGATTACGAAGATGGAGACGGGAGATTAGAATCGCAAATAAACCATTTCCCGTTGAATTTAACTGACTCACATACATAATTCATAAACGTGATAAATTTCGATACTCTTAAAGATGGCTGCCTTCTGGATTGCACTGGGGAATGTCACCAAGGTCACATTAAATTGGGGGGGGGAGGCTTCTTGTTCAAAATCTTTCGTCTTGAAGTCTGCTGTCTAAACCAGAGCCTGTCCCACTGGAAGAAAACTCATGCTTCGGGAGTTTGTGGACCTAATGGATGTAGCAGGACCTTCATAATTTGTATGTTGTTAACACGTTGGTAGATATCAACGATTCGGACAAAAATACCGGCTCCATCTTCAGGGCTATTTTTGTACTCATCGGATATTATTAGGGTGAGACATGCAGCACGCCAGTGAGAGAAATTCAAACAAAATGCAGCTGGTAAACCGGAAGGGGTGACCTTGACGTAAATTGGGCCGGAGGGGAGGAGAGGGGGCTTATGTTCTCTCCTTTTTTCGTAGCCGTCATTCATTTTCTTTCCGGCTGAAATTGAGAGGTCCCAGGCCAAACATCCGACCCTCCAAGAGGGGAAAAAAAGGTTTCCGGTCGAGACGAAGACAACGGGCTGTAGATGATTTCGTGATTATTAAATCCAACCGATGCCGTCTTAAAATCGATGAAACGTTGCATTATTAACTGTTATTTTAATATAATATTATGTAAGGCTGTAATTTATTAGGATTACTTTTAAGATTAGCTACACCTCAGGAGTATGCAAACATCGCCCGTGTTCCTCCGGAACGTTAGTCTCTGCGTTCACAAGTCAGTGTGGACGGTTTAGACACGATGTGATGCCCTTGGGATGGCAAACCCGCTCATCGAAATGACCGCCGGTATAAGAGGAAAGAAAACAGTTAACTGTAGGTCAATTGGATAAAGACCCACAGTTCCCGCGTGTCAGCAATCACGGTTATCTAAAATGAAGGACCGGAAAACCACAATCGACAGCTCAGATATCATCAAACTCAGATTAAGGCGGGTACTCACGTAGGTGGAGGGTCAGGTTGACCTGGTTGGGGTACTGGATGGCCTCGTACATGGTCTCCGACTGCCACCACGTTTGGTTTTCATTGTTGTTGAAATCTGTGAGGTAGGCGGCCGGGTGCGACTGGGGTCCTACGTCGTAGCAAACTTCGCAGGACTTCTTAGTGCCCGAAGCCCCCGTCTGCACGCAGAACTCGGTGGGTCGCTCCTCGCCACACGTGTTGGTGGCCTCGACGAGGACATTGAAGGCGGCGTTCTCAAACCCAGGAATACATCTCTGAGAACACAGAGCAGAGACGAGTGAGCGAGGCTTGCCGAACCATAGACCACACAAACTAATTCAGGGGGAAGTTCCCAACGAAAATACGGATTTTATTACGAACACTGCGTGATTCAAGGTCACAGAAAAATCGTACAGCGTGGCAAAGATTGGCCTTGAAGCATGCAATTTGTTGGCGGCTACAACACATTTCACTCATTTAAATGACGACGGTAGGAATCTATTTTCCACACATCTGTACGAGCTTTTGTACCCGCCGAGTCAATGGTAAGAGCGCAGTAATTTCCGTGATAAATCGGCCATGGCACAAAGCTGCATGAGAATTTTACGTCGTCGTCCCATACAGACCCAGTGCTGATCTACAGGCAGAGGTTAGAAGCAAAAACCTCTGGCCCCGCCGTAGATCGAACTCCGATTATACAATCGATAGTCACACACACAAAACTTGCTACTCCAGCTCAACAGCGCATCTGCGTCACTCGAGATAAAAAAAAGAAACATTACCTGTTCGCCGCGCGAATCTTTTGAAGATGGATGGAAATTGGGTATGAGTTACCGTCACAACACAAGTGGCCACACTTTCGTTCCCCTGATCGGCAGATGGGATGAAATCGAGCCAAGTGCTAGTCTAGTCTCACGACAGTCACACCACAACACTTTTCTACGATTATTTACTACAGAACGCAAGATTTAAATAAGTCTCTGTGACGTATACGTCCTGGACAGTCACATGGTACAGACCGAAAACATTATGCTCGTTCTAATTTGATACTAGCAATACTATAGACACTGGAAGTTAGCTGCCATCAGCGGAAAACAACATAAAAGCGTGAGAACTATCTTTGTACTAAGACCAATGTTCTTCAGTCAGGTGCGCAGAGGGCTTACGCATGCGCACATCATTTTCCTACCAGGCCGCCTACGTCATAGGAACTTATTAACTCTCGCGTACAGTGTTTCCGTTTTTCCCACACCGACACCGTATAATGAATGAAAGTTCCAGCCCGGAGCGCATCGTCCGAGCCCCAGTGATTGGCGCAACGCCAAAACCGGATGCGCCCAACGTGGAAACTTGAATCTACAATCAAGTCCGCAAATTTATAGTGCTAATAAATTAACCTTCAACATGTCGCGGATCTTGTAACTACATTAAATTTATCCAATGAAAATAAACAATTTAACACGAACATAGAACGGACAGAGTTAGGTATCAGAATCAATGTATTGTAAATGGTTCATGATTTCGTCATTCACGACGATTTATTGCGTTGCGAGGTACTGACTGTGCGCGCAAGAGAGAGAAATTAGTACTGGGCGAAAGCAAAATATTGAGCTCAGGTGTCGAAGTTTATTCGTCAATAAGACGCATATTTATTGATGTGGTATAAAGCATCTTTTTTAAAAACGCTACTGACTTTTTATCAGGATTCTGGATTTTTACCACTGAACTGGGTAATGAAAAACGCATATCAAATTTCAGTTGATGAACCTGAAGTCACGGAGGCACACGGGTCATTCGGTTGGCCCAAGACGAGGTTCATTAGCGGGTCTTCTGAATATGGGAACAAACCATTTGGTCCCATAAAAGAGTGCGGAATCTCCTGACCAGATGGATCACTATCAGAATCTCAGGACGAATTCTCCTGCATGGATTCAGATACGTATTTATGGAGATCGTATAAAGTAGAATTTCGTGGACAGCGGATGAGGTTGGGGACCGCTGAGGTAAATGTTCCATTGTTTCACTGCAATTATCGTAAAGATGTGAGGACTTCGAGAGCTGGGCCTTGAAGAAGTTTGTACAATCGCAGTATTTAAGGAGAACCAAGAATTTGACGTAAAGTGTGGGCCAGCGCAGTGCAAACCAGGGCAACGGACCACGCGTAGACGGGGATTATTCTTTTAATATCACACGGACCTTTTAGAATTATAATTATTGACCAAAGAAAGTAGCTGATTCATACATAATGAATAACTCTGCTGGTCACAGAAACCGTGCCATTTGAAAACTGGGAATTCCGCTCGGGGCGTACACGAATGTCCGCGTTTGTCAGGAGACTGAGTAATACCACAAAAACATCAGGTAGGATTTTATGAAAGGGGTGTGTTATTTAAGATCGTTTGTGAATCATATAATTTGCCGTCAGATGACGCCAAACATAATTTAAATCCTCTCTTATAGACACACGGTTTGATTTTGTAATCTCAAACATCTAACAGGTTAGAATAAGAATTTTCTTGGATATTATCCAAGAAAATTCTTATTCTAATGACTCATCATCATCATCAAGAACTTTTAGATTTGATATCTAACAGGTTGTCCCTTAAGTCCCAGGCAAACCCCCGTTACTTGGCAAACGGTTCATCACCCTGAAGACAGAGGCAGCAAGGACCTCCGAAACGTCGGTAAATTTTGTACCAGACTACATGGCACTACAACCCAGAAGACAGTCATCGACATACTCGGTGGGGCGAGAACCTCAGATACTGCTTAGGAGACGGCTGTTGCACATCGAGTGTTGGATTCTTTTGTTACCTGGGACACTCTTTATATTAACAGCAGCGAAAAGTTTCGCATTAAGCAGGCGTTCAAAAGACGTCCGAGAAGGCATACACAGACGGAGAAATGCAGTCTGTATAGACTGAGGAAAACCAAGGACCCTCGAGGAAATACGATGAAAGGGGAGGGGAGGGAATGCGGAGAATAAGAAATCTACGTGGTCAGCATTTCTTAACAGCGACAAAACACTACAGGCTGTTCGAAAAGCAAACTTCTAATTTGATTTTACATTCGGATACAGCTGCAATGATTTGTTTTCAAAGACCATCACAACATATTCTTCTAGGAACTGAGGAAAACCACAGTGAGGATAGCTCGTCTGTGGTTGAACACGAAGAGTTGTCTTCTCACCATCGACTAGTTAACATTCCGCTACCACCGCCTTCTAAATTACAACACAAACGAATTGCAGTGAGTGACGAGGTTAGCGCACCCTAACAAAAGAGTCGTCATCTGCGTCTGGCCGCTCGAACTACTAACCTCAATTCTAGGGACAAGAAGCCAACTCCTCTTTAGCCAGTCAAGAAATGTCCAGCCTCTTATGTAATCCACGAGATCCAGCCACAGAACCTTTTTGGTACCGCCTGAATCCAGACATTCTCACACGTTTCCCTCGCCCCTTCTACAACTAGATCGAATCAAAGCGTTTCCCTCGTCCCTTCTACAACTAGATCGAATCAAAGCGGTGTCTTACTTCCAGGTTTCTTCACTAAACAATATTTCACATACGAAGAGCTTGAAGATGTTGAGTTAATGCAAAAAAACTGTGTCCCAAAATGAGTTATGGTATGTGGAAATGACAGCTGCTTGCTCTGAAAATCATATGAAATCGACAAAGACACAAAATTGCTATTGTTAGAGCAGTTGCTGAATGCACCACTAACCTTTACGCAAAATTGCTATTGTTGAAGCAGTTGCTGAATGCACCACTAACCTTCAAAGGGCAAATTACGTAACTCGGTCTGCACTCCAGCCTTCTGAAAAGAATAATTTAGTGACGTATACACACGGGCAAAGAACTTGATGTGTGGGCGACGTCCGAATTCTACGAAATGAATAACAGCTCTATTAGTCATTAAAAACGCATTTAACCTCAAGAACCGAACCACTTGAATAAAAACTATACGAAATCTTAAAACACAAACAGAACGTGCAAGTAACTCGTACTATGGAATCGACTGCACGACTTGAACTCCATCTAGGACTGAAACCTGAGATGTTTTCAGCAAGGCGTGGCCAACACTTCCGCCGTGACGGTTACGAGCCGAGTCGTTTCCCCTTACCTGTAACTCATTAATGGCGTATGGATACGGCATCTTCTTAGTCTGATCGGAGCTTTAATAATTCAAACTGCAAAGAACGCACAACAAAACACCTCTCCACTAAGCAGCACTCCCGATGAGATGGGGGGCGATGTAAACAAAGTCGTGTCGCTGTTACTTCTTTCGAACCTTGTCCTTCGTCCGGTGTTATTTCATTAATACTTTTCTTCTTTCTTTAATAACTGAATACAGCGACTGTATTATTCTTTGCAACAACGATCTTCAGCGTCATATTGATCAGTATTTATAAAATAGACGATGTTAAATGTTCCAGTGCTGCATACGTTTGTCTGTAAAACGACTTTGGGGTGGATGCGTGTTAATTTGAACAGCGCACTGGCCAGCGGATCCACGAGGCACACATTCGTCCTTTAGTTGTGCAACTCGAAACTTTAAATTTTGTGAGTGTTGATGTTTACTTTTTGGGTGTAGGAGGCACAGCGTACGTCAGTAACAAAGAAAGTATCAGGATATCATCAGTATATGTTTACAGGAGAACAAAATAACATTTCAACCACGTTTTAGAAGGAGTGTGAAGAGAGGGGAATGTGTTTTGGCTGCCAATCATTTTACCTGTGCGAATTGAAGGGGGGGAGGTTGGTTGCCTAAATTCGAAGATGAATATCGGTATCTGTCACAAATGTGGAAGCATCACAACCAAGCCCACCGGAAGAGGATGTGGTCCCGTGGCCTTCAAGCCTTGGAGGGGAAGAGCCTACCTCAACGAAAGGCGGGGTCAAGGCGGTCGTCACGAGCCCACACACCGGGGGAGGGCGTGGCGAGGCTCAGAACAGCGGAACAGGAAAGATTAGTTAACCTTGCGCGTACCCTCATAAAATTGACGGAGGGATTTAATACAGCGCAGGTGCAACAGTTATGACGTAATAACTTGTCTGACAAAAAAAACAAGTCAAAATCGTAAACCGAAGACAGAGGCAGAATATTTAAATGTTTTGGAATAAAAATTATTCATAAGGAACATGAAGGCAGATTTCATTCGGGGATACTAATTGCTGACAAACGTAAACAAAGAAGTAGAGATTCTGGATAAGTTGCGCGGTGGTTTGTGCGCAGCTGAAGTTGGCCTGACACTCCGTTGATATATTACCTGAATG